AAACATGAATCATAGCTATGGCCTTTAACTATTCATAGCTAAAATTAGTGATATATGGTTGATGGCATTGTTTTCCTATATCAAATACAAACACAACGTATTCCATTCATAATAAAAGATGAAGCTTGAATGCAAAATTCCAATAAAGGATTTTATAATGGAAAAATGAATTTCATCTCAAGGTGTTTTAATACATCAATGTTTAACCTATAAAAAATAATAGAAAATAAGTTAGAAATCATAATTTTAGAGATATAAAATCATGTATGAAAATCTAATTATTAACTACGCAATATAAATTTACCTACTTCATTCCAAGCCTAATGTTTAAACAAATTAGAAGTACAAGGATTGAATATCAACCACAAATTATGCATTGAGCAATATGATGGCGTGACAATGTGTATTAATTTCTATTTTCTAACAAATAATTAAAATCATGTAGTGGACTTAAAAGCAAAGATCAATAATCTACAACTGGAGGTGGACTCTTTAAGTGCACAAATGAGTGAAATGCAAAAAGAAAATAAACTGTTAAGAGAAGAACCTTAGGAAGGAAATAATAAAGCATCTACAAAGATAAAATTGATCATCATAGTACCACCTCGTCCTATCTTTAAGTGCACATTAGGTAGTTTACTAACAAAGTTACACTAATTTATCTTTTTCCCCAATACAAATTAATTAATAATTTTATTTTCCAACATGATAATATTTTATTCCCCCGGCTGCATTCGGTTATTAATTATAATAAAAGAAATAATTAAACTTGTATACTTTTTGATAATTGTTAAATATAATTATCAATTTTATAGGAATTAGTTAAAGAGTTTTCAATTTCTATAAAATGTTGTTAATTAACATGAGTATAACAGTATTTACCCAAAATAGTTTAAAATGTCATGATGAGTTACTTAATAATAATATTTATTAATTTTTGGTAATTTACCAATTGTATCTATTAACCTTTGGTAATAACACTATTTGATATGCATTGAATATGAGTTGGATTAATTATTAATAATATTTAACTATTTATTAATTAATATGGATATTTTAAATGAGAGGGAGTGGATATAGATTGGGGGATAGATTTTAGGAATCAAGGATTGTGGTGTATATATATATATATATATTGACATGGATATATATACCTTGACATTGTAAGATGTTCTATCCCACTCTACAAGTTTGGAGTATAGCGAAAGTCTTCTATCCCATTCTACAAGTTTGGAAACTAGTGAAAGTGAATTGAAAATATGGTCGAATGAGAGAGGTGGAATTTTCAAAGGAATCTTTCCACAAAAGTTGAATGCACTAGGATGGGACAGACAATTAATATCCTGCCAAATGTGTATTAGTGGGGATGATGCCTTACCATTTTGATTAAGATAAATTGTTGAAAGTTGAAACCTCCTTTAGAGTTTCTCACTGTTGCTGAAACCCATCTGAAGTTTAGTAATTGTAGTCAATTCCTATAAACTTTTTGATATAGTTGCAAGTAGGCCCCCTCAGGTAAAATGTTTCAAAAAGGCATAAAAATGTCTAAAATACCCATGTAAGTACTATCGAGGCTGGTTTATGTGGGTAAAACAGTACAAACCTTATGAATAATAAAAGCAAGGAGAATTTAAAGTTGTATCTTTACCTTCAAGTGATTGATAGGAAGGGAAAATTTAAAAAGAAAATCAATTTCAGAAAAGAGACTGAAAGGATTTAGAATAATAGTTCATATAATTAAAAGATTTAGAAAATAAACATTTTTATTAAAAGTAACTACATAGATATTTTAGACATTTTCATGCTTTTTTAAAAGATTTTACCACAAACGACCTATTTGCAACTATGTCAAAAGTTCATAAGAATTGATTGCAATTATTAAACTTTATAAAAAATTTAAACAACAATAAAAAACTTCGGGAGAGGTTGCAATTATTAATATGAGCTTGACATTTGTGGCATGGAAAGACATGGATATTTCATTCACTTCTGAAATGGTGGTAATGTTGAAGAAGTCATTAATCATTAACTTGATTCACTCTTGCTAATTAAACCATGACCGCTTGGATCATCACTTGAATATATGTATATCTGATGATACAGCAGTATTCTGTTCCTATCCCCTCCAGGACTCCTTCCATCATGTTTTGTCAACATCATGCTTGTAGATTGAAAAATACATAGTAGGTAGGACATGTTACCCTCATTCATAATGTCAACAAGTTTATATTAGAGGGATCCCTGTAATATGGTGTCAGTGACAATTATACCCCTGAATTTTCATTTGCCGTAAAAACTGGTTCTTGTGAATTTTCACTTTGGGAAAAGTATCCTTCAGCATTACCAAAATGATGCCTATGCCTTCATCACTTGTTATTGAGAAATACTTTCACCGTCTCACCGACAAAGAAGCTATTTGTTATGAGAAAATTCTTTCTCCTCTATTATGTCATTGTCGAAGAAGAAATAACCTATTGTTTCCTTGCTGCCAGAGAAGAAAGAATCAAACGAAACTTGGTGCCGTAACCCGTAATTGAAAAAAGAACGAATTAAAGCTTGTTGTTGTGCCTGTTGCCAAAAATGTGGTTGAGATATTATGAGGATAGACGTGGGCAGAATTTTTGTGGGTAGGAGATCGGACTCTTATATTTATGGGTTTGGGGGTATTATAAGTTTAGGAGATAACCCCCAGATTGGAATGGCAATGAGGGAGGGGGGTTCAGGGTGGGGACCATACACCCTATCTCGACCTCGAGTTTTAAATTAATCCCTATCAAAAATTTTGGTCTGTATTCCTGGTCCTTCACAGATTGGGCTCCTCCATCAAGGAGCTGAGTTCTTGAATTTTAATTAAAAGTTTGTTTTTAGAAAGGTATTTATTTAAAATAAAAAATAAATAAAATGAAAATAATATTTTAAATATATTTTGATATATATAATGTAGAATATATTATAAATAACATAAATAATATTATATATTTAATATAATATATATATACACATATATTTAATATAAATAATCAGGGTTGGGTGGGTTGTGGACTTTACTCCCCCTCCCCAATTAGGTATTCCTATCAATTCCATCCCCACCTTATCCCCGCTAAGGCAACCTCCAACCCATCCCCTTCTGATTGGGGAGGCCATGTACTTGGTAGGGATGGAGAAAATCACCATCCCTATCCCTAGATTGTGTAGCTCCATATAACTATAAGTTTTGAGTCCAATTCCATGCATCGCATGGGGCCTGCTAGTTATTATATAAACCAAAAGAAAACTATTTATTAAAATTAATTATCCAATAAAATTAATGAAAATTTTAATTATTGTTTGATAATATCATTAAATATTAATAAATTGACCACAATTACTGAAAATATCAATAACTATTTATTGCTAAAAATTACTAATAATTTTTAATTTTTAAATTTTTTTCTATTAATATTTTAATTAATTATTAGTTTTTTAGTAAATATTGATTTCAATAATTCATTTTCAAAATACTCTGAAATTAAATTACCAAAATCAATATTCATTGAGTAATTCTTAGTAATTAAAATTTTCAATTTACCAATGTTACAAAAAATTATAGTTTAGGTTCTGATATTTACTAAATAATATTCAATGATATTAGTAATTATTAAAAATATAAAAAATATTTCACTAATTAATTTAACTATTCAAATTAATTTACCCACATTTGTTGTTTTTAGATGGCTTATAATATAGATTAAGAGTTGTTTTATGAGGAATTTTAGCTGGGAGAGATAGTTTAAGAGAAATTTTAGGAGGGGGTTGGCTAAGCGATTGAGATGAAAGAGATTTGGAATGACACTCTAGTGTATGATGAAAATATAACATCAGAAATATCCTCAAATGTTTTCGACAAAATTGTATACTTTTCATTTCTTGCTTTTAGATCAATTTTAAATTATATATTTTTGACAAAATTATATGTTTTCGACAAAATGATTAACCATCTAGATAGTTAAATAGCCTTACTTTTAGATCAATTTTAAATTATATACTTCATCTACATTATATAACTAATATTTGTTTATCATACTAAATTTTTATTTAATATAATTAATATATAATATTGGATATTTGTCTAAATCTTTTATAATTTTTCTATTTTTGCTTCTAGTACATTTTGTTATTTTTTAAAAATTTATTATTTTAATATAACATCATTGGTTAATCCATTTGTTCCCAACCACTAACCCACCACCCAAACCATTTATTATTGCATTTCCTTCATTGATAAAATTATTTATAATTCTTATTTTTGTTCAATATAATGAATGTATAATATTATAGATGGACCCAATATTTTACTTTATTTATAAACATATAACATCAAATATGTTTCCAAATTGTTCTCTGACATTTTCTTTATTTTTGTGATTTTTGTTTTTATTTTAAAAATTTTTTTATTTGAATATGACATCATTTAATTTAATTTCAAGGTTTATTTTAAATTTGTAATTCCATTTTCATCATTAATAAAAATATTTTTTACATTTCATACTTAATTTTATTCAGTATAATAAATATGTAATATCAGAGATATGCCTAATTCATTTTTTTTTGTATTTTATATATTATTTATTTTGATTTATTTATTATCTGATCATGGCATTGTTGATTATCCCATTTGACCCAAATGATTGAATTGTTTACCTACCATTATTGGAAGGGAAGAAAATGGTTGAATTGTATAATCCGCCCTCCCCGACCAAATTGATCAATTCCATGCACACACCAGTCAATAAAATACATAAATCCTATAACCACTCAACTTTTCAGTGTAGGCCCATGGGCTAATCGAAATTCCAAATTTTTACACGTTAAATTCTAAATTCTTTCATTTGTTTCTTTCCAGCCCGATCGTCGGTTTCTCTCCTGTTACTTTTCCTTCATCTACGACGAATTTAAGCCCCAGTTATCATCCCAGCATGCTTTGGTCCGTGTTGTTTCATTTCATCCTACTACTGCTGCCGATGACGAAGAAAGCAGCAGCAGCAGCGTCGTCGACATCGTCTCTGACAAAGCCCCAGTGCAAAGACAAATGTGGGAACCTCAGCATCCCGTACCCGTTTGGCATCGGCAATGATCCTAATTGTTTCCGCAATAAAAATTTTCAGTTGACATGCACCACCACCACCACCGGTGAAAATCAATTGCTGTTCCTCGACAATTTACCCGTTTTGAACATATCGCTGCACGGCCAACTGACGACCTCTATTCCTGGAGCTACCAAATGTTACATGGACGCCGACAAAAATTTGCAAGGAAATGACGACTCTTTTGTAAAATTTTCGAATGCATACAGGGTCTCCGATACCAGAAACAGATTGACGATCGTCGGTTGCGACACGAATGGTGCTTTGTATGACTACAGTGAAGAGGGATTCTACGTGGGGTGCACATCAAAATGCTTGAACGATACCAAAGTGAAGGGCTTACCATGCAATGGCATCGGATGCTGCCAGACCACCATACCCAAGGGTATCACTGATATTGATATATATATTAGCAGCCGTCACGACTTCAACTACACTTGGCAAATCAGTAGATGCGGGATTGTCGTTCTGTCGGATCAGGACGCGTTAGAGTCGCAAGTGTCACACCTATGGAATATCAGAAACAACGTGAAAGACCTGGTAAATATTGGCATCAGAAGTCCATTAGTACTGGATTGGGCAATTCGAAACGAGACTTGCGAGGAAGCACAAGGAATGAAGAATTATGCATGCGGGGAAAATACATACTGCTACAACTCCACAAATGGCCCTGGATATCGTTGCCATTGTTTGGAAGGTTACGATGGGAATCCTTACCTCCAAAATGGATGCCAAGGTATGAATATATTTCTTTTGTACATCTTTCATTTAATTAAAGCCAGCAAGCTAATCAGGTCTTATTATCACTTTTGTAAGCCGGAGGATTCAAACGATGTCACCAATCTGAATCATTGATCGGCCGGTAAAGGGGATTTCTCTAGCTAGATCGCCCGGTTTTGCACTATTCTTTGCAAACCGAGTCTTAAGTTTCTATCTTTTAATTAAAGTAGGGAAAAAACTACGCTGCCAAAAAGGTGATACCGATCGAAAGGGCTTTTATCAATCAAATCCCTTTGAATTTGATTAATAATCACCTGATTGATTCCCTGATGCTGCTTGATTGGTTGCACTTAATTAATAATTGCATGTTTTAACTTATATGCACAGTAGTGGACCGGTCAAAAGCAAAAAAGACATGTGAGAAAGGAAGTAGGAATTATGCATGCGGGGATAACACCAACTGCTCTATCTCCAACAACAGCCCTGGATATATTTGCCAATGCATGCAAGGCTATCATGGGAATCCTTATCTCCCCCATGGATGCCAAGGTATGGATTCACTCTTTTTGAGTTTCGCTTCATATTTCACAATTCAAATAGGAATTAATAAAGGAAGGCATCTTTGCATGTTCCTGCAAGTTTTGAAAAATCCTTTCCTCTTCCGCGTCTGATGGGCTTCGTTTTTACATTTTTTTTCCTCGGTTTAGTAAGCTTCAAAGGATGAGACGATTTGTTTCTCACAAGTCACACCCACCTTACATCACATCACATTGCAGCTGTAGATGGGGAACATCTCCCTATGGTGTGAGGAGCGTCCTGTGATGAGGAACAAATCTTGAGTGTTAACAGGATATTAGTTTAGATGTGGCTCACTTTGGCGTATGGTTATGGGTTGTAATTTATTTTTAGGGTAATATACTTAAGCATACCCTTAGTTTTCATAAATTAACTTAAATATACTTTGATCCTACTCGACTTAAACTGCTCTTCGGCCGTGGTTTTCAAAATCAGACCGGATCAGATGGTTGGATTTGAAAAAATAGGAACCGGTCAGGTGACTGGTTTCGTTTTTCCCCAAAACCGGATTTTCTCCAATAACTGTTGATTTTGGTCAGTAAATCACTGATTTAGGTGGTTAACCGTTTGAACATTTTTGACCATTTTTTTTTTGTCATAACAAGCCAACCGTTTGACCAGGTAACCAGACCCCTGACCGGTTCAGTATCCGGGTTGGTTTTAAAAACCATGCCTTCGACAGTGAAATGTTATATGTGAACTCATTTAAAATTTTTAAGGCTCAGTTTGAAAAGAATACAAATACAAATATATATAATACAAATATATACAAAGTAATACACTATATAATTTTGCACTTGTTCACGTCATGGTTGAGCTGGCCTTAGGAGACACGTGGCCACCTAGTCATTGCCTGGTCACCCTAGCCACGCCAGCATGGCCCGGCTTACTCCGCGGCCTCGGCCGCTCTATGCTATTAGGGTAGCCCCCATCTTATCTACTCAGCCACGTCAGCTACACATCACAAGGATAAGCACAACCAAGAACAGGAGAGAATGGGGACAACTTCGCCGAGAATTAGGACTATCCCAAAGACCTCATCCTGGTATCCCCGGAAGCCTAATCCAATCAGGACACAGACCTTTGGCTAAAAAAAGGTATCTCCCGCTCAAGGTATGGAAGGCCAACTTCTAGCACTCATACTCTCACTCTGCTCGGACCAGCACTCTCATTGCTCAGCCTGACCAACCATCACCTTCTACTGACTTGAGGGTCGGAGTGCCTACCCAGGGATAACTCCTCGGGCCTCTGACTTCCCTTTCTTGATCATAGGTCTTGAAGCGTGGCCTCGTCCTTCTACCTCAGCTCCACCTTGTTGGAAAGGATTATCTGACTTCCTTCCTCGGTTCGTGCACCACCTCGGATCAAGTAGCATCAGATTGGCATCGTCTATGGGAAGCACACAAAAAGCCTTTCCTGAAACTTCTCTCTTGTCGCGCAATCAAGAAAGCGATCAAGATGCCCAAGAATTAGTCCGAGCGATCAACAGGCCAAACCCCATCTTAGGAATCTTGTCGCCGCCGCACCCTCTATCAAGAAACCCCACAGCCTCCGATCACAGTTGACCCCATACAATTCTAGGAAATGCAAGAAAAGGTTGACAAGATCTTCAAAATGATGTAGAATTTGGGTGCCGTGGCACCACCCAATCAAGTCGTCCCTCCTCCTACCCTGACGCATACAAAGGATGATCCTCGTCCCAAGGACCCCAAAATGCACTGATCAAACAAGAGGGGAGCGCGGTCCCATCACGAAAGGCAAGAAATGGCAAGAAGATCCGCCTCCTTTGCCCACTCCCATGAATCGGGCAACCATAACAAGACACATCAATCTATGTGGATCCCCACCAAGGAAAGACTTGGCAAGTGGATGCCACCCCACGTAGTCTCTGTTGCCGAGTCTAGTTCGGTAAAAGACCATTCTACGCACCCTAAGAAGGAAAGGGCCACACATACTACGGTCATAGACAATAGGGACTCCGTGAGCTTCGACAATGCTTAGAGGAGTTAAGGCACAACTAAGTCCAAAAGAGCACGACACCACCCGTAGATCAGCCTGCGCAGCCAACCGACCAACCCAGCAAGGAGTTGCCCTTCGTTCAGGAGATAATAGACAAGGTACCCCCAACGGGGTGGCGGGCACTACAGTTCGACAAGTACAATGGGAATACCGACCCATCCAACCACGTCATAGTACTGAAAGCTTAGATGATGTTGCATGTATCGTTTGAGGGCCTTATGTTTAAAGCCTTCGTGGCCACCCTTGAGGGCCCTGCCCTAGCTTGGTATTCCTCTCTGCCTCCATGCTCCATAGCGTCACAGGAGGAACTAGAGACCCAATTCCTAGCGCAGTTCACATCAAGCCAGAAGTACTGGAAAACTTTGACCAGCCTTATGCAAGTGTAGCAAAGGAAGGCATAACCTCTCAAGGGCTATCTGGCAAGGTTCAACAAGGAAGTGCTATAGGTCAAGAACTTGAACCTGTCTGTGACCGTCACCGCCATAAGCACGGGGTCCACTCCTCACCATTCAACTTCTCCATCTCCAAAAATCCTCCCTAGACCCTAGTTGCGCTAATGAGCCATGCACAGAAATATATCAACGCAGAAGAGGCCCAAACACAGCTACAGGACGAAAAGGAAAAGCCAGACAAGAAGAGGAGAGACACAGAGGATCAGAAGTCGGAGAGATCAGAACTTCACACCACTAAACACACTACGGTCTAAAGTTCTGATGCAAATTTGTGACCGCAACTACATCTGGTGGCCCGAAAATATGAAAACACAAGGCAACAAGAGGAACCACAACAAATATTGCGAGTTCCATGGGGACCACGAACATGATGCATCAATTGCTTTGACCTCCGTAACCACACCGAGGACCTGATCAGGCATGGGTACCTTAATGGATTAGTCGACAAGAATGAGAAGCCAACACAAGAGGAATCACACATAGAAAATGCTTGGCTACCGCACTGAGCTCCTCCTGCCAGTGTAATTCATGTGATATTCGGAGAGATCGCTGCAGGAGGGGAAATCAGCTTAGGGCACAAGATATATGCACGGTTGTGCGAGATCAACAACCGTGGACAAAAGAAGAGGCGAAACAATCCGATCACCTTCACAGAAGATGACATCTGAGGGGCGCAGACCCCACACAAGGACGCCCTAGTGATTATGGCAGAAATAGCCAACTTTGAGGTGCGCCACATTCTAGTTGACAGGTAGCTCAGTGGACGTCCTCTTCGAAGAAGCATTCGACAAGCACAGCATCGACAAAAATTGCCTTAGCCCATCAACACTCCCTTGATGGGCTTCTCCGGGGAGTCCCTCATGCCAACCGGGAGGATAGCCCTCCCCCTTCTAATCAAAGATGGAAACATCACTACAACAGCCATGGTAGATTTCATCGTGGTCCACTGCCCATCCTCTTACAATGTAATCCTTGGCAGGCCGACCCTCAACACTCTATAGGCCTCTATCTCCACCTTCCTCCTTGTGGTAAAGTTCCTAACACAGTATGGCATGGGAAAAGCACGTAGAGATTAGAGGACCACATGACAGTTTTACTTGACCTCCTACCGAGGACAACGTTCTTCCGCAGAGTGAAGACGCAATGCGGCCAACCCGTTGAAGACCTCATCTAGGTGCCGCTCAATGAGGAAGATCCCGATAGGACAGTCCAGATCAGCTCTTTCCTAGATGACTGTCTCCAGGATGAGCTTGTAGAGCTGCTAAGGGATCTCGCTAACATGTTAGCTTGGTTAGCAACAGATATGCTGGGGATTGACCCCGAAGTGATCACACACCACCTGAATATCTATCCATGCTGCCGACCTATCAAGCAGAAGAAAAGGAGTTTCGCTACAGAATGGTGGCAAGTGATTGCTGACAAGGTGAATAAATTGTTCAATGCCAACTTCATTCGGGAAGTAAAATACCCTGACTGGCTGACCAACGTAGTGATGGTGAAGAAGGTCAATGGGAAGTGGAGGATATGTATTGACTTCAGTGACCTAAAAAATGCCTGCTCCAAGGACAACTTTCCCTATTGAGGATTGACCATCTCGCTAATGCAATGGCAGGGCATGAACTCCTGAGTTTCATGGATGCCTTCTTAGTGGGTACAACCATATTCGGATGCACCTAGACGATCAGGAGAAAATGGCCTTCATTACTGACCACGGACTATACTACTACAAGGTGATTCCTTTTGGCCTCAAGAACCTTGGCGCTACCTATCAGCGGCTGGTGAAAGAGGTCTTTAGGGATAAGCTCAACCAAAACGTAGAGGCTTAATTCAATGACATGCTCGTGTAGAGCAAGAAGGCCGAGCATCACCTTGCATACCTAAAAGAGGTCTTCAGCACCTTCAAGAAGTACAAGATGAAGCTGAACCCGACAAAATGTGCCTTCGGGGTCAGCTCCGATAAATTCCTAAT